CGGGTGGTGTGCGTTTCTTTAAAGTGTAACTCCGGCCTCACCCTCCTCTCACACACTTGTAGCATTGAAACTGATCTCCATTCCCTGCAAACTTCCATCTCCACAATATGACCCTTTGAAGCTGCAGCAACTATCCTGAGCCGACTTCACTCATCATCCGTCCCTCTCCTCCCCATCCATGCTGAGCCCACCTTACCCAGCTATTGGCTTTCTCTGCCATCTGTGATCTTTATCGCTGGCGTCAGTCACTGTACTCGAGCGCCGCTATGACAGAACACGTCCCTGGGGTTCCTTCAGACCTGCATCTGGAACAAGCAACTGATCAGCAGACTACACAGCTGCGTTCTGCAGCACCCAGTGCCCAGCAGGGATGCACATGTAGAGGGATGGCAGGGATGCGTTCCCTCTTATAACACTGGAAGGGGGTGGGGCTGGAATAATTTTTTTCTGGTGACATCACGGATTGCTGTATAGTGTGAGCTAGACCTAGTCAGTGGTGAGAGGACTGTGGCGGCTGGACTCACCGAGGGTCCACGGAGTCCCTTCCAGCACGTGAAGATTGTGCTGGTGGGTGAGGAGTGCGCCATGCGTCAGGAGAAAGCTCTGCACACTCCATCCGATTGGAGAACAACGATCACTTAGTGTATAACATGACGCATATCCAACGCGTTCCGGGGGGTGATTGGGGGCGCCCTCTTCTTCAGGGTCTTGGTAGTGTTAGATCAGTCGGGGGCACTGCAGGCACCTCAGACACTCCAAAACCGTGATCACATCAGGACACAGACTGTAATAAATATCTTACACCCCTCTGCTGACAGATACCTCGCAGTCTGTGTCCTGATGTGATCACGGTTTTGGAGTGTCTGAGGTGCCTGCAGTGCCCCCGACTGATCTAACACTACCAAGACCCTGAAGAAGAGGGCGCCCCAATCACCCCCCGGAACGCGTTGGATATGTGTCATGGCTCGCACGCAGACGCCTCGCTCGCACTCTTCTCTTGCAATGAAAGCTCCTTATCCTTAGGAGTCTAACTCCCTCATCGTCCTTCCCCTGTGACCTCTCCCTCCTTTTATGTCACACACAGACATGGCTCCTCTGCTGGTTCCCGCTACCTT